TGGTGTAATCAATGGTTGAATTAAATTTTTCCACTTGAAAATAGATTTCCCTGTTGGAAAATCTGGATGTTCTCATCTCATCCAATCTCATCTCATAGGATGTTCGGTAGAGATACAATCGAATTGATGATAGAATTCGTGGAAGTTGCTCATTCATTTCATTTGTATGGGAGAAAATCTTCGTATTTTTTGTCATAGTATAATTTTCCTAATTCATTTCATAGAATTCATTATAGGACTATCAATTCCTCAGAAGAAGTTGATGAGCTAAAAGAATGATGGTTGTCTGTGTAGGAATGGGAGGTCCTCGAAAATACCTATTCAGTGGAAATTTAGTCCTCAAAAATGCCACAGTATAAATGAAATCCCATAGGTATAGGTTCTTTCGAGGACATTGATAAATTTGGTGTTTCTCCTGCATTATCAATATTTATTTTTGGTTTTACAATGTGACCTGTGCATAAAAATTTTCCACAGCTTGATAAAACTGCCGGGATTGATGAGATTTGCTCAACAATATATTCTATCACTAGCACTGATGTTAATCAACTAGAAATTGTTAAAACAAATCACACGAAAATCCGTTGAATGATTCCATTGCGTCCCGGTTGAATTTTCAATTATTTACAAAAATTCCAACAGGATTGATCATCTACTTACAGAACATTGAGAGAAAACGCGATGTAATTGTTCAATGCATTTGTTAGGGTGTTCTATTAATTCGCATGTCACTGCATGTATACCATTAATTAATGAGCAGCCAATGACGGATTTTGGAGGAGTTATTTAGTTGAACGATTGATCAAGCTGATTGTAATAAAACACTAGGTCCTCAAAAGTACCTATAGTTTTGAAAATAAAGACCTCGAAAATACCATAGCGTATGTGAAATCTCATATTCATGGGTACTTTTGAGGACGCCGTTGACTTTCGTTTTGTTTTCAGTCATAATATGTATGTATACCCGATCAAACTATTGGAACTGATAGATTTTATGTTCCAAATTATTCAAATGCGTTTTTTATTCTATTCCTTTTTGCCTCGGTCAATGAAAGCCAAAAAATTACAATTAGGCGAAATTTTTCGAAAACAGCTATGTAGGGGAAACTGAATGGTGGAATCAATGGTGGAATCAAATTTTTCCAGTTGAAAATACATTTCCCTGTTGGAAAATCTGCATGTTCTCGTCTCATCCAACCTCATCTCACAGGATGTTCGGTAGAGATACAATCGAATTGATGATAGAATTGGTGGAATTTACTCAATCATTTTATTTGTATGGGGAAAAATCATCGTATTTTTTGTCATAGTATAATTTTCCCAATTCATTTCACAGTATTCTTTGTAAGATTATCAATTCCTCAGAAGAAGTTGATGAGCTAAGATAATGATGGTTGTCTATGTAGGAATGGGAGGTCCTCAAAAATACTTATTCATTGGAAATTTAGTCTTCAAAACTGCCACAATATAAATTAAATCTCATAGGTATATTCTCCTTCATTATGATTGTTTATTTATAGTTTTACAGTGTGGCCTGTACATAGAAATTTCCGATATGGATAAAACTGCCGGGATTGATCGAATTTACTCAGCAATATATTGTATCACTAACATTGATGTTAATCAACTAGAAATTTTACCACACATCCCACGAAAATGAATAATTCCATTGTGTCCCAGTTGAATTTTCAATTATTTACAAACATTCCAAGAGGATTGATCATCTACTCACAGAACACTGAGATAAAACACGATGTAATTGTGCAACGCATTTGTTAGGTTTTACTAACAATTCGCATGTAACTACATGTATACCATTAATTAATGAGCAGCCAATAACCAATTTTGGAGGAGTTATTTAGTTGAACGATTGATCAAGCTGATTGTAATAAAACACTATGTCCTCAAAAGTACCTATACTTTTGAAAATAAAGACCTCGAATATACCATAGCGTATATGAAATCTCATATTGATGGGTACTCTTGAGGACGCCGTTGACTTTCTTTTTTTATCTCCCCTAATTTGTACCTATATCAAATCAAACTGTTGGAACTGATAGATTGTATGTTCCAAATAATTCAAATTTGTTTGTTCTTCTCTTTTCTCTTGCCCTCGTCCATGAAAATAGAAAAATTACAATCAGGAAAAATTTCTCGAAAACAGCTGTGTAAGCGAAGCTGAATGGAAAAATCAAACTTGGCAAGTTGAAAATTGATTTCCCTATTGGAAAATCTGATGAAGATATACAAATGCTGATAGAATGTTCGGTAGAGATACAATCGAATTGATGATAGAATTCGCGGAATTTACTCATTCATTTTATTTGTATGTGGGAAAATCATCATATTTTTTCTCCTAGTATAATTTTCTCAATTTATTTCATAAAATTCTTTGTGATACTATTTGTTCCACAGAAGAAATTCAGGAGCTGCGAGAACAGTGGTTCCCTGTGTAGGAATGGGAAGTCCTCGAAAATACCTGTTCATTTGAAATTTAGTCCTCAAATTTGCCACAGTATACATGAAATCTTATATGTTTAGGTCCTTTCGAGGACATCGTTTAATTTGGATTTTCTCCTCCATTATCATTCCTTATTTATGAATTTACCATGTGACCTGCGCATAAAAGTTTCCATGGCTTGATAAAACTGCCTCGATTGAGGGAATTCGCTAAACAATATATTCTACCCCTAACACCCAGGTCAATTAACTAGAAATTTTACAACACATCGCAAGACAGTCCGTTGAATAATTGCATTGTGTTCCAGTTGAATTTTCAATTATTTACAAAAATTCCAAGAGGATTGATCATCTTCTACAGAACACTGAGAGAAAACGAGATGGAATTACTCAACGCATTTGTTTGCCTTTTTTAACAATTCGCATGTTACTGCATGTGTACCATTAATCAATTAGCAGCCAATGACCAATTTTGGAGGGGTTATTTAGTTGAACGATTGATTAAGCTGACGGTTTTAAAACAAAAGGTCCTCGAAAGTAACTATTCTTTTGAAAATAAAGTCCTCAAAAATACCATAGCGTATATGAAATACCATATTCACGGGTACTTTTGAGGACGCCGTTGACTTTCGTTTTTTTTTTTCACTTATAATTTGTATCTATATTAGATCAAACTGTGAACTGTGTGTGTATTTGTGATATGACGCTTTGTGTAGAGCAAGATGAGATTCATACAGAAAAGTTTTACCAAAATTCCTCTATGTCTCTTCAATTTCAACATATTGTCCTAAATCTAATTTTGAAGGTGCAAAGCGCTTTAGCCGTGGTGAACTCTACTATATATACAGTAAAATATATGTGGTGGTATTTTTGAGGACGGTCCCCAAAAGTACCATTATGGATGTTTTCGGCAGAAGATTATATATATAAGGGAAAGTAATGCATACATACCTTTACAAAATCACGGAGAACTAATATATGCAAAAAAATAGGTGTCTAAAAAAATGTCCTCAAACGCACCATTAGACATATATATATATACATATATATATATATGTATATGCTTAAAATACAACTCACCGTTGCATACTGGGGATCCTAAGAGGAGCTCAAAAAAGCAAGGAGTACCCTTTCGGGAACTCCAGTCCTACGCGAGGTGGCCTCCAGTATCTCGGTACCCTCGAAAACAAGAGCCATATCGTCCATCCGATCACTCCACCACAGGAACCAATCCCTCTCAGCTCCAGCAACGAAAAGCTCCTCGAACTGTACCACACCAGGATGATGAGCATCGACAAAATAATTAACCAAAAAATAAACCTCACGAGCGAATACTCCCACGATCCATAATAAAGGAAAATGAACACGCCAAAAATCAGACCTTACGAGAAGACACACAGACTCAGACACACACACGAGAAGAACAAGACTGAAGAGTTGCTAGGAAGAAAATGATAACTCCGCGGAGACCCAAAATCAAGGCCTTACCAACGAACCGGCCGGAAATACCAACTACGACACCACAGAAATGCAAACGCAGGAGAAACCAAGTCAGACTTCACCATTTATAGAATTCGCTGAAAACAACGATTGAGAAAAATTATTAATTTGTAAACAAATATATAGACATATATTAAAAATATATATATCTACATATTTGTAAGTAGTATCACATGTATAACGGAAAAGCCCCGAAAATCCTAAACGATCGGCTGACAGAGAACTAAGGTCACACAAAATCGAAAATCATTTATAGGCATTAAATAGACCCGACCCCTAGAACCAAAAAAGTTCGGAGATTATTTTCATGTTTGACATCACTTTCCCCTCGGAAAACGCGATCCCACCCTCACAAAGAACCGTGATACCAATAAACACACTAACTTCTATCAACATAACTCACTTAGATCACATCAAAATCAAAATTTAACTAACCTAATAGGGAACCCTGATCCCTAGAATCTAAAAGTTTGGAAATTAATTTTACATTTGATATCACCTTCCCCAAGAAAAGGTGATGCCGACCCCTACCGACTACACTAGACTAGCATCACACTAACTCCTATCCAAATAACTGGATCACCTGGATCACACCAAAATCAAAATTTAATTAGCCTAATAGGGAACCCTGACCCCTAGAATCTAAAAGTTCGGAAATTAATTGTACATTTGACATCACCTTCCCCAAGAAAATGTGATGCCAACCCCTACCGACTACACTAGACTAGCATCACACTAACTCCTAGCGACATAACTCACCTGGATCACATCAAAATCAAAATTTAACTAGCCTAATAGGGAACACTGACCCCTAGAATCGAAAAGTTCGGAAATTAATTTTACATTTGACATCACCTCCCCCAAGAAAAGGTGATGCCAACCTCATTCCGCCACATGCCACTCACTTACGTAACTCAACTAACGCCATTAATAGGAAATTCAAAATTTATTATAGATCAAAAATATTCACAAAAAAAAGGGAAAGCTTATAACAATAAACATACAATAATAAAATTAAAAATATAAGGAAAAACTTACAACATTAATAATACTTAAAAAATACAAAGAAAAACTTAGACATAAAAGTTCAGAAGGAGAAGAGGCACTCTAATCTTCTTCCCAGCTCTCGTAGAGCTTAGAAAAAGAAGAAGAAAGGGAGATGGAATCAAAAAAACAAAAAAATTTTCTTTCAAAACAATAAGAAAAACTTATGCCTCAACAAAAATACCCCCACAGCGCTTCTCGTGGCGGGGGAACCAGGAATAAAAAATTGAATCAGGGGGCCTCCTGATTCCCCGAACCTGCTTCATCCCGCATCTGTCACACCGGTAAAGAATCTCGAGGCCGAAACCCCGCAACCTCCTCCAATTGACATCCGAGTCATCCTCAATATTGCATCGAAGGGCAAGGTTCAGCCTCTCCACCTCCGCCCTCCAATTTGGGCCATGAGACCCATTCTCCACCCTATTCCCTCCCATCACATCAACATGAGCATGGCATAACTCATGGACAAGGATACGCACCAACCAGGTTCTACTGATCCCTGCAGAAAAAAGACACTCCTGAAGGAAGATTTTTTTCTGCAGGAAATCAGTGTACCCAAAACAATCTTTATAGTCCTTTGTCCGCCACACCGTGAAACCCCGGAGACGTCCACCAAAAAACCTCTCATCCAGCAGCTTCGCCAACCCACGATAATTGGGATCAGGACCCAGCACAAGCCCTACAAACTCAACCAACCCCTCAGGTACACCACAGTCCACCCGGAACAAATTCACCCGGGGTTGACGCCCAAACATTCTCTGCCACTCGCGTTTCGATCCACGCATCTGAAACAAGCAACAAACAGTAAGAAAAAACACTCAACAAACTAACAATTGATTATCCTATAGAGAAAAACATAAGTACCTTGTAACCAACGACAAAAACACACTAAAACACCAAAACACTTCAAAAAAACGGAATGGGACACCTGTTGCTTGCAACCTCGAAAATAAATGAATAATAGATTAACAACTCACCCCAACAGCTGACCATCCACGCGGTCCAATGACCCAGTGCCTCTGCCGGCCGTAATTAGCATGCTAATTAGGTCACACCCCCTACTTACCGACACGGATGGCCACTCACGCGGTTCAGTGACCCAGTGCCTCTGCCGGCCGTAATTAGCATGCTGATTAGGTCACACCCCCTACTTACCGACAAACAATTTAAAGATTAACGCGCGGACCGTAACCGTTTAAAAAATAATAATAAAAATTCTAATTTTCCGATAAAATCTCACCCAAAAAATAGGAAAGATTTTCTCCGCGGGGGCTGTAATGTCCAGCTTATTTTATCAATTCCGCAACATCATTAAATTAAATAAGAAAAAGTAAAGTCAATGAACCGCCGCCACAAAAATTGGGCAATCCACCAAAACCCGCCACTGACCTCAGGGGAATATGCAACGCTGCATTCCACAAAGGCCATCGCCAGGAAAAATTCAACAACTCGCAATTTTTTAGCAAGTAAAGCCAAGCTAATGAACCCGAAATCAGAAAGGTGGAAATCACGCCACCTCTCCCACTTTTAGCAATTTCCTAATTTTCAAAAAAGAATAAATAGGGGAGCCTCCAAAAAAATTAACCAGTCTGAAAAAACCTGCTCCCTAAAGAGCTACAAATTCCTGGCGGAAATATCATTGGAATCGGTCCGACTTTGACTAGTGTTTCGGATTTAATCTATATTATTAAACATTCGGAGTGCTCCTGAATAATATTAAGGAGCATTAATTAGAAATTGTTCGGAGATACGACATCCTTAAACCGAGAGTAAACGGTTTTCTTGCAGATCAAGGGAATCAGCAGTAATTGTTGGTGAATAGTGGGTTTGACGCAATTTTAGCTATTAGTGACTATTAAAAACTATTGAGAAATTAGACTCAAATTCAATTCCAACCAAATTTAACAAGTGAAAGATAGGTACTCCACCTAAGTATCTGTAATAGTGTACTGATTGTCATCTGGCAGAGAAAAGTGGTGGAATCACCCTCAGCATTCACATCCTATAATTTATAACCAGTCTCCGTGAGTAATTCCTCAGAAATAAAATCCAAGATAGATCCAAAATTGATTGCAAGGTTTTTCTAGTTTATCATTACTGTCAATTTTTCTTATGTACGAATTATCAAAACGAATTTAAATAAATAGTTAAAGTTAACGGACCTAATCTTTTTCCTACTTCCTCTAACTAATTTCCACTGAATTATATTAAACGCGAGAATCATTCACAGGTAAGAATAAAAAGAAAGAACAGCGTCGTCCAAAAAATTAATTAAGAAATTCTAGCTGATTTACAAAAGTAAATGTCCTCCGCCGCGAAAATTCTCTGGACATAACATTAGTGATTGAACAGGATGATTTAACATACGCGATTTGAGAATAGGAAGCAGGCCTCCGATAACCGGTGTTAGTGGGATAATTACATGAAAAATTCTTTCAACTTTAAAACTCCCAAAAAAATTAAATTTGTCGATTTTAATAAAACATTGAGCTTTAAATGAGATACTGGATGCTGGATACAATGTTATAAGTTACAGCGATTTTAAGAATCTTGACATTAAAGTACAGATAAAACCTACGAAACGAAAGTTATTGTAATGCAGTTTGTATGCAGTGGATCAGGTTTCAGGAGTCGACTTTTGAAGATTACACAAACATTCGTGGATAATAAAATATATTATCAAATAAGGTTTGCGACGTAATTTTTGGACATTCACTGCATCTTCCGTCCATTAGCCTGCCCTCTGGTACCGATCACCCCAACAAAAAAACAAAAATCGAAATGTTAGGCGCCAGCTCATTTAACGGATTGACCACCGCCATTAAATTCTTCTCAACCTTCAGCTTCAGCAAATCCAGCAGCTCGATATGTCGAGATTTATTAAAACAAGCTGAAAGGGGATACGATTAGGACTCTCATAAGAATGAATAAAATATAAAATTATGCATGGAGGGCGCTAGGGTCGCGATCTGTGACGGTTGATTTTCTGTGTGGGTCCGTTCATTTAGTCGTCTTTTTGAGTTTTTTTCGCGTTTTGGGAGGTTTGAAGGAGCGCTGAGTGAGCGGTTCTGAGTGGAGAACAGGTGGAAGTGTAGGCAACGCGGGGGTGCAGCGTTTTGTGGCGGTTTTTCTGCAGTCTTGCAAACTGCAGTGGCAACGTGGTTAGGGACGCCAAGAGAGGGAGAGAGCGGGAGTGGAGAGAGAAGAAAGACGGAGAGCGGGAAGCCTGGGTAAGATATGGCAACCTGTGTTCACAGGACGCCAGAAAATGGCGATGAGGGCCTGGCTGAGGGCGAGGTGGTTATGGGGAAACGAACGGAGATTGGCGGTGGACGGGCATTAACCGAGAAAGAGGAGGTTACACAGGTAAAAAAGAAGAGGGGCCGGCCCTGTAAAAAAGACGGGGAAAGGGGGAATAGAGAATTTCATGCTGAGGGGTGGCGAATCGCTAAAAATTCCAGCGGGAAAGGAAATTCCACGTACGCCCGAGAAAGGATGGGAAATCGTCAGGAGTAGGAGCGAGTCGGCAAGCAGGGGGAGGTCCGATGAGGAAAAACCGGTGGATGAAGGAGATGTGGATGACCCAGGGGTAGTAGAAGCAACGGGAGATGATAAGGCTAAGGCGCAAAGCAGACAGGATTGCGTGGAGAGCCTGCCCCACTGCCAGGGCAATGAGGGGCGATTAGGTGGAGGCCTGATGACGCAGGGGGTAGGGGTCGGCGGTCTGGATGGAGCGGGAGAAATGAAGAATGAGCACCAGTCGGTGCTGGAAAGGATGGATAGGCTGGAGAAAGTAACGAACGACCGTATGGGCAAGCTGGAGGATCTGGCGGAAGACCTAAGGATGATCATAAGGCGAGTGAAGGGCCTGGTGAGAACCCTTATAATCAAGGAGAAAAGCCCGGAGGGGAGGGGCCAAGGAGAAGGGACCGCGGAACAGATAAACTAGTAGGTGGTATCAGCACGGGCGTGGAGGCAGTTAGGGATGAGGTAGAAACATTGAAGAGGTGGGTCGGCACCCTGGCCGAGGACGTTGACCCCGTGAAGGAAAAATTGGAGCAGGCCGCCTGGAGAACGAGACGCAAGAGAAGAGGGAGGGGTTGGGAGGTCGAGAGGGAAACGGAGAAAAGTCCAGGGAACGAGGAGGACAAGCCCAGTGGAGCGGCTGGGGGGACGAGGAAAACGTCAAGGTGGGAGCCGAGCCAGAATGTGGAAGGGCCTGGAAGGGCTTGTGAGGAGCTGAATAGCAGCTGTGAGGAGGACCATCATAGTTTCCCCCTCTCTCGCCCCCTAAGTCGACCTTGCGGTACTCGACTGCATCATCGGGTTAGAAAGTGGCACCGGATGGAAGGAAAGGTGGTGCTGATTGCCAGCTAGGACCAGGCGGGAGTTCGGGAAAGCCCCCGCGGGAGAGGCAAATCAGGGAGAAATGGCTGCACCAGGAGCTTCTGGAAGGGCTGGCATGGAGACAGGGAGCCCCGGGAGAAATACCGGAGAGGGAACGGGAGTTCGAATGGAAGGAGACATCGAAGAGAAGGAACAACGTGGTAGGTACGGGTGAGGTCCGATGAGGTAGTATTCTCAAAAGAATTCTCAAAGTATACTCATTTTTAGTCGCTCTAGACTTTTTAACCATGTTGGTTACATCTTCCAACATTGCATATTTTGCATGTTAAAGCGCGTGTTGATAATAAGGTGGAGACAATGAATAGAAGTGAGCTACGGCAATTGAATCTAGTTGTTTTTCAAGAAGAGCCCTAGAATCTTCCCCATGTACTCGAATTGCCTCTCTAAGGGCAGCCCTATGATATTCTTTGAGTCTACGCAAGAAATCTTGCACGGCCTCATTTTTATACCGCGGACAATCCCTCCGTTCTTCCGGAGTTCCCAATTTGGTTTTCTCGAGTCTGGAATTGCTGCCTAAATCTTTTAATAAATCCAAAATAGAGAAAAATGTTTTCCTTTCAATTTCTGATCTGGCAGGATATGTTATTTTTGAGTAGAGGACACTGATCTATAAACCCTCTTTACTCGTAGGTACGACATGGATCACATATTGAACTTCTTCCTCGAAAATATTGAAAGTAATTATATCGTGCTTATTCCCGTAAAAAGCAGGGACATTTCTGAAAAGATGCTTTGCATTTTCAAATTCAGTATCATAATCTGCAGCTGTTACTTGACCATTTAAAGTGATATTTCCGCGGTTGGCCATGGTGAGAACACGTCGATGATGCGAGGGACGGGAAAAATTGAGAAAATTGCCCCCGGTGAGAGTTTCGACGAGTCTTAAAATTAGATGAGTACGAAATGACACAAGTATTGTAGAATAAATAGAAGATCTTTTTGTGAATCACTGCTGAATTAATAAAATTCTATTTTTCAGATTTCCAATAGCGGGTTAGCTCAACGGAAAACGTCAAGAAAGAACTGCGCGACGGATGCTAGAATTAAGTTAATTGGAATAAAAATGTTTGTACGCGCTGGGCTTTAAAAACGAGCTTGAATCGAATGTAAAACTGTTGAAAGGAATTAAATGACTAAGCGGTTTACAAGGTGGGCCTTCGAATATTCCACCATTTTTTTATTTGTTATGTGCCGGTTGGGAAACCACATCAGTTATTCTTTAAAAATAAAAATGCCTTCGAATTAACGTAAATAAAAATAATTTAAGTCGGAGTATTGCTCATGGACTCGTTCCCGTTAAGTTTGACGAAGTTGTACCTTATAGATTTGCGTGGTCACTGTGTACCTTTCTTTTCTGAAAGAATTGATTAAAATTTCTGGGAAAGTAGGGACATTGTGAATTCCTAAAACCAGATTTACAATATCTACTCAGGATGTTTATTTATGCTGATTTTCGTACTACATTTGAAAACTATTATTCCTTTGATATGAATAATATGGTGGATATGAATGTTACAATTTTTTTATGCTTAAATT